ATAGCTCTGCAATGGCGTGAGAGTGGGAGACCAGGTGTTCCTTCGAGACGAACGGAGAGCGCTTCATTCGAGGTTTAATAAAATATAAGCAGGCAAGCTCGTCTTCCTCTCCTTATCGCTCCCCTTCATGCTGTGCCCTAATTTGTTATCTCGTTTCTGAGACTTTTGCATGCCAGGTAGCTTGTTTCGCTGGTGCGTTTTAGATCATTTTGTGCCACATTGTTGCAACCAAATTAGAGGTTACGGAAAATTATAAGGTTTTCTGCTCAAAATAGAAGCTTCTGCAGGAATGGGGGATTTTGGAGCTTTAGTATAGCCTCTTAACCAAAAATCAAGTAATAGCTGAACGGTCCTCTAACTTTATGCCTTTGTTGTATTAATTTTCTGTATTTTTATTAGATACTATTTTACATGTTTTTTCTGCTTGCCGTTTTCATGTTTGCAGTGGTTAATCAGTAGAAAAGCCAACATAGCAATGGTTAATCAGTCGGAAAATCAACATAAAACAACTGCAGAAGAAAAAAAAATCTGTGTGTGGAAGCTTTGGTACGATTTGTTCTTTGTTGTTTATCAGGTTACATCGTGGGCACGAGTTGTTCTTTTTTGCTTATCAGATTGCATCATACCCCAAGTCACTTTTACTATAAATTCAAAATGTCAATAGTGCCCGTAACTGTTATGATTCCCAGATTGCTTGTCCTGATCTCGTTCGGCCTTGTCCGCTACTGTCGAAGCTTACTTTTCAAATGGTGCTATTGCCCTTCCCCATTTTTAAAGTTCTTCTCTTCTTTTGTTTTTAAGTTATTTTTTTCTTGGGGCGGTTTCTTTCTTATATGAAGTATACCGGGTTGAAAGTAATTGCGAGTGTCTTACTCAAGACCCTTTTTCTTTTAATTGGTTTAATTGAGATGCGTTCAAATCCGTGATTGCCCTTGATTCTCTCTCCCCAATCTCTTGGACCTACCAGCATTTTTTGCCCTCCATGTCCTTGCTTTAGACAAAACAAACCTTTGCTTTCTATTGCCCTGCTTCACATATAACTAGAATATGTGGCCACTTCCTCTGGAAGATCTTATTTCTTTTTCCTTTCTATTGTTCATACATTTCTTGCTCACGTTTCTATATGCTATTGTAACTTGATGATCATCCTTTATCATTTATTTGAGGCATAACATGTCACTATCATATGCAGTGTTGAGATTTTAAACTAAGCATAGCTAACTTTATTTTATGTATGGAGTTTACCAGTTTAAATCATTGTTTTAAACTGTGGACTCGGAACAGGACTTGCCAGTGTCCCTAGCCCAAGAGCCGAGTCAGACTCGGCTGATTGTTACAAAGATTTAACAAAAATACCTGGGAACTGGTGATCATCGGCCGGTTCACAAGGGTTTTTCACTCTGACCAGACGCACTGCTGGGTTTGAATGACTCCCCAAGTCTGAGTAGGAGTGGATGAGTTTTAAACCACAGGTTTAGATGGTCACATATCAGACACGTACACTTGTATAACTTAGGGGTCCTTCAAACAAGAAACCTGGTGTTTCTATATTTACATAAATAATATACACAAAGGGGGTCCTTCATTAAAGAAACCTGGGGTTTCTATATTTATGTAAATAATATTTCATCAAGAATTGTATACATCTGGTTGCACTAGATGCAACCAAACAGCAAAATCTATAGGAGAGAGTATAAGAAGAAAATGTAGGGGTTTCATGATGAAGGGGGAAGTCAAGTGGAGGGGCTGGGAGTAGAGAGAGGGGAGGAAGGATGCTATCATGTGGGTGAGGCTTTGGGAGTGAGGAATGTAGAAAGAAAGAGGAAGAAACAAATTCAATGAGAATTGTGGTGTGGTGATGTTGGGGGGAGGAAAAGGGGGCAGCAGGAATGGGCCACCAACTCATTTTCACATTCAGATGGCATATCTACTAGATGACTTCCTATCCTTATTTTGTCTCATGGTGAGTTGTTTGCCTGAGTTTAGAGTCAATGTTATGTAGATGTGGGCAGCGTGATGTTTTAACAAGGGAACGACATTCATTTGAAGGACTTTCGATTAGATGGTGATTGTAGCACTGCAGTCTCCATGCCCACGTCCTAATTGATGGGGGGCACTTTTGGAACTTGTTCCTCTAATTAAAATTTCTATCTTTTAGTAGTATTTTTAAAGAATCATATTTTGAAATATTGATTTTAAGAACTCAAAAGTGTTTTCATAGTTTCTTTTCTGGATGCCCCATGAGATATTCGTGTTGCAGAAACAAAAATCTTCCTTGTCAAAATGAAGAACAAGATAGCAGCATTTCAGATATAAATATCTTGTAAACATTATTTTTTCAGAAAAAGAAAAATTTGGAAATTTTCTGGCAAGGTGGCAAAATTGGAAAGGTCCCCTCCTGCCGCTTATGGCACATGGAAGAGTGCTTTCTTACCACTCAGGAAGCAGATAAGTGCAATATTAAAACAAGCACCTCTCAGGGTTCTTTGATAAAGATCCATTTTTTAAAGGAAAAGTTCTTAATGGACTCATCAGTTCATAACGTGCACATTGACCAATCTTTCTCCAAAAAAACGTGCACATTGACCAATCCCCCGAATGCTATGTTATGGGAATTTTTAGGACCTGAAATTCTGTGAATCTTTTTTGATTAACATTTTGTTCAATTTTTGGAGAAAATAAATTTATATTGAGCTATTAAAAATCTCTGTCTTTTTCTCCATCAATTGGACGGTCCAGTGTCATTTTTAACGCAAGAATTGATTTTGGAGAATATTTTGAGTTCCAAATCATTTTTTATTCTTTTCAGGTCAATCTTAGCGATGAATAAATGTGATTTGAGGTTTTTGGGGTCAACCAAATCCCCGTAACATGGTGTTTAGGGGATTGGTCAATGTGCACAATATGGATGAATGCATCCGCAAAAATCTTATTCTTTTCTAAATGAGGACATTGTAATGTTGTGTTTCTGATTATTTACTTTATAAACAAATAAAAGTCAGAAAGTTATTCATTGCATCATTACCACAATATTAATATTCAAATCCAACAAGTAATTAGATTTAAGCAGTACAATTATCATTGTACTATTGATATTAAATCAAACTGAGATGCCTTATGATCTTCCATATTCATTATAAAGAATTACACTTCTGTTTTAGGTCTGTACTTCTGGCAATGTACTATTTCCTTTTACATTGTCAACATATATCCCTTTAAGGATTTGGGAATTCATCTTGAGATTGTTTGTGGGTTTTTTTGGTCATTCATCAATTGGAAAAGGGTCTCACAGAGCCGTTGTTCTGAAGTGAGGTTTCCTGAAAAAGGGTACTATGCTATTGAAAATGTGTCTTTTGGTATTTTTTGTTGGAAAGAAAGAAGCCCTTAGATCGTCAATGACGCTTATATAGATTGTTTCAGATTTATGGATTACGATAGTCAATTTTTTTGAACAATGATCTTGGTATCCTTTGTGTCAATAGTTCTTTGGCTTTAGAGTAAAAGACTTCTTTTGTGAGTGGAAATTGGTGTAGTGTAACTCCTGCACTCTAACTAACACGAAGGCCTTTTGGGAAACCATCACATTGGTTTCTTAAATCTAGTGCTGCTTGATTGGAATGGGACTTAACTAAAGGATAAGTCGGTAGAATTCTTAATACTTCTTTCAGCTTGTTGGCATTTGTGATTCTATGGAGGCACAAGTGTTGGCCATTCTGGTCAGCCGTGAGATTTTCTTCCATATCTTCATGAGGTCTTTCATAATGGAAACTGCTTGCTTGGCAGTATTTGATGATCCTGCAATGAGATGGATGGTTTTTGGAGATCAGCTGATGTTGTGTTATTGAACTTTACTAGAGGCAAAGGTGGCATAGATCTTATCCCCATGTATCCAGAGAAGATAGTTACGGGGTGGAATCCCTTAAATGGAAGGGAAGCTAGAGGATATGTTTCGATTGAGGACTCTTTTATTCCACCTTGCATCATATTTTATTTTTCTTTCATCCTTAAATTTGTTGTTAAGTCCCTCTCAATCGTCACGTATTTCTTTTCTACCAATGAATACTTGAATGTCCATTTAATTGATTCGAAATCTCCTATTTGTTCACTCATTTTATGAATGTTTTCTATTGGTAATATCATGATTAGTAATAAGAAAAATGCAAAATTTAGAAATCACTACAAAGGAACTGCTAAGAGATGGCTAGAGCACATCTCAAGGCAATTTTAAAGGCTTACCTATTTATCAAAAGGTTGCTTCTATCCATATCTTCCTTAGCCAAACCATCATTTGCCTTCGTTAGCCTCACTTTGTAATGTCCAAGGAAAAAAAGAAAAAGAGTATTTGATGCTTGGAGAATCCAAGGACAGTCCAAACTCTAGGAGGCAGTTGGACCTATATTTCCTACTTGTTCGTGAGTGTCCATCAAGGACTGGACATGGATACTTCTTCTGTTTGAAGTGTGACGTTGTATTCCTTTTTTTTTGGGGGGAGCAAATGTGATGCTGTTCTCTTTAAAGTCCGATTTTGGCATTTTGCAGCATAATTTACTGTGATTCAGTTTATTTCTGTTTCATGCTTCCCCTTCTCTCTTTGATTGGGTTGCCTGTGATGTTACATGTATCATACTGTTCAGTTTCTTACATTTACCCATCAACATTGTATTGTCAACAATCATTGACTGATGTCAATGGTTCCTCCACTCAAGTGGACATCGGGAGAGGAACTGTAGACAAAATCTGTCCATTGTTGACTAGGGCTGGCTGCTGCTACATGTATCATACTGTTCCATGGTGCATGTGCCAAACTAAAAAGAATGATAATATTCTTTTCCTTAGATGATATCAATTTTATTGATATGGACATCTCCTATTTGTACCGGTTTTTGGTTATTATTTTTTCTTTATAATTTATGGCTAAGCAATTAATTTTGCTCTGAATAATTTTCTATTCATACTTTTATTACTGAAACTACGCCATTCTGTCAAGTGTAGAGCAACCATTTCATTAGATACCTAATAATGTCAGTTATAATATAGTAGTACCCTTGAGAAATATCATATATGTCTTCAATTACCGGTAGATTCAGCTCACTTGTCAAGTGTAAGGCAACCATTTCATTACATACCTCATAATGTCAATCAAAATATAGGGATATCCGTAAAATATATAATAATATGTCTTCGACCGGCAGTAGATTTAGCTAAGTCATGTCTTCCAAAGTCGTTCTGTTAAAGCTGCTCTTAATTATGGTTGAAAATACCATTCAGTACATTAAAAGAATTCCTATTGCCACAGCACTCCCCTTGTTACGCCATCCAATATGTCAAGTGTGCAGTATAAAATGCATGTTTTTGACTAAAATAATGGATGGTTCTCTCATAATAATTTCTGTTACATAGTGGTGTAATTTTCACTATAATGGATTTTAGTTTTCTTAGTCTGAAAAATGGGCAATGACGTTTTTTCTTTGGATAGGCTTGTGGGTGGGATTCAAACCCAAGACATTGTGCCGCAGTTTTAGGTGTTTTGACAAACTGCAGCACAA